TTCACAGTCAATTACTTTTCAAACAGTTTAGACGTACCTGCAACTCCTGGAGATCGAAGTTTTTCCAATACTGATACATCGACTGCACATTGGCAGCCATCTTGAACGGGATTATAGACTCCATCGATTGGTCACATGACCTGCCATCGAACAAGCTGCTTTCTCTTTTCTATGTCCACTTTCTGACTGGAACATCCACAAAAAGTCTACTTTCTGACTAAAATAACCATGAAAAGTCCACTTTCTATCTATTTCACACACTTAAAAACAAAACTCGGTTCTGTGGTTAAAGATGCCTGACAAGCTACTTAATCTCTGATGTAGTTTGACACTTTGACGAGTCATCATCATGTAGCAAGGCCTTTGCAGAACGTCGCTTTCATCACAGTCTGCTTGAAAGAAACTCGGTCTCTCGCCAGTTTTCCCGCCTCATGAACTTTCACACTCAAGGAGTCACTTATATCCTGTGCCCATCTTCGTGTCGGTCGGCCCCTGCCCCTTCTTCCTGGTACCATGCCTTCTGCTATATTTTTTTCAAATCCGTCGTGGCGCTTGATATGACCAAAATATTTCAGCTTTCGAGAAAGGATGCTGTTTATTATCTTCCTTGATGTTCAGATCTTTTAAGATGTAAATATTTCTCATCTTCTTTGTGTGAGTGAGTGTAAAGGGGGAGAACGGGGAATTCCTTTAGCACGAATGCCAACACAAGGTAAACAAACGTTATACAATCTTTATATCTGAACGCATACTGAAACTCATTAGATGTGTGTACTCACTCTACTAGATCTTCAGTAGAAAGCTGTGCCGTTCTTGCATATATTCCAGTGAACTAACATATCATATCAAGAAATACTTTGCAACTATCTGTGTGCCTCGGTAGCGCAGTAGGTGGCGCGATATGATCACTATTTTTTTTGCAATATGTTAGAAATGTCACCGTCTTTATAAACCAAACAGAATAAGTCACGTCTAGAAAATAATGCAAATAAAATTGACTATTTGCGACAAACGATTTTGCATACATAATACAATAATATTTGTGTAAGCATAATTAGTCAACTGGCCAACACCTGCCCAGGTATAGATACAGATGAGACAAATGGGTTTTTCCCTTTAGCGATCCCTCTTAATGTTCATAAGAGATACTACACGGATTCAGAGATGGAACATCACTATCCCTACATGTACGATTTCCGAAGAGCTGTCATGATGTACGTATGACGTGTTGTGCTATCCTTTTGCTTTTTCTTCGCGTTCACCGGCTGTAAACTCTGGCGGAAAGTTCTGGTTGTTTGTCTATCAGTGGTTGATAGTCTGATTCTAGAACTTGAGTGTGCGTGCACATCCGTTTTACTGCTATGGTTCCTGTATCGCAAAAAAGCACTGTAAAAATAGTAAAGAACGATTTGCATGCCTTAGATGCATTGTGTATATGGTGCTAGCCGCACTTTAACAGACCAGTCGGCATTCTATTAATGTTATGGTAGTCTTTACTTCCCAGGACATGTTCTTTTTTATTCATGTATTATTTTGTCAACTTGGGAACCAGGTTAACTTTCTTGTTGCGAATTTAAAATAATGACCACTGGGCCAAGCAAAGTGACTTGTTTTAAACAGCTTTTCGAATTGTGTTTCGGTTAGGTTACTTGTGCGGTTTTTTTTTAACGTATCCAGAAACCATGAGTTGTAAACCCTTTGGCTCGGTACTATGGATATTGCAATCCTTCGGCCTTGATTCCATTATAGGTACCGTTAATCTGTGAGAAATGTGGCTTTTCTGCCTACCCCTGGAAGTGAACCCAGACCACAATGAGTTCGTCACCCGGCCGCCGCGAAAGTCAGGTTTAACCAACTTCACTAGAGAGCCGGACAAACTTGTGCGTTGTAGATTTTCATCTTCGCCTCCTCCTCCTCTTCTTCCTCTCCTTCTTCCTCCTACTCCTTCTTCCTCCTACTCCTTCTTCCTCCTACTCCTTCTTCCTCCTCCTTCTTCCTCTTCTTCTTCTTCTCTGCAAACAATGTTGTAGATTCAAACTGCGCTTTGAGCTCTGAGCTGATAATTATCGGTGACTGGACAAAGACTATATTATAATTATATTTGAGTGTCAGGTAAGCAATGGAGCAATGCCACATTAACAACATATTTAAAAGTTAAAAAAAAAAACTCAGCCTAAAGTATGTTCGTGTTCTCTACTGGAACTGCGCTTCGTTCAGTCAACGCCGACCCATTTTCGAGAAGCTCAACTACAGCAACGACATTGTTGTCCTACAGGAAACACACCTCGGCGACAATATCGTTAAAATTGCGGGCTTCCAATCCTTCTACAATAGACGGCACCTCGGACAGCTCATTCTTGTTCGTGACCACATACCGGTGTCTGAGGTGGACATGTCTGAGTGGAATGATGATGACTTACAAGTACACGCAGTCAGAGTGATGGGCCCGGCCCAGTTTGTGATTGTCATAGTGTACGCCTGCAATGGAAAGGTGGATACAGCGAAATGGCAGAGTTTGCTCCAAACGGAAGAAAAGAAAGTCCTTTACTGCGGAGATTTCAACGCCAGAGGAAACCAGTGGGGCAATGTAACCACTAATAAACAGGGAGAAGACCTGGCGGATGCCCTAGTGTCTGCCGATCTAGTATGCTTAAATGACGGGAAGGTTACCCGAATGGCAACCCGACAAGTTGATTCTGACATCGTAATTGACCTGGCCCTAGTGTCTCCCTCCATTGCATCAGGATGCAGGTGGAGCACACTGGGATACGCGACAGTGATCACTTTCCTTGCGTCGACCTGGTGGAGAAGAGCAACAACAAAGGTCGTGTAATCAATGTGCCTGCTTTTATACATGACCGTACAGGGCAAGATGCCATTAGCAAAATCCGACGACGTAAAACAAGAGCAGATCGCAGACAGCGAGAGAGATGGGCCCAGCCACCATAGTGGAATGAAGTAGTCAACATGGCGTGGCTAGAAAAAAAAGGAAATCTGTCAAGGCGTGGCAAAAGGCAAGGAAAACTGATCCGTCCCTTTCTGAACGCCTGATCAGTATGAAAGATGAGGTCAACAAGCAGTCAGTGGCTTTCAAGTTAAGTGCGAAGGAAGCCAAGACCGCTAAATGGAACGAATTCTGCAAGAGCGTTTGCTCCGAGGGATCTCTTGTGACATTCTGGCGCCTTCAACGGAGCATGCACGGCGCCGCACGACCAAGGGGTATCCCTGTACAGACCTGATATGGCAGAGAACTGATGCTGATAAAGGAAAAACCCTTCTTGCGCGCTACTTGGAGCAAACTGACCAGAAAGACGAAGCTGCAAGAACAGGGATTAAGATGAAACTAATTCATATTTAAAGCGTATTCAGTGGCGGTTGTCAGTCCCGTGCGGTAGATTTTCTCTGTATGATACAGGTCTTCAAAAGGCCGCCACTAATAGCTTTGTGTTCAAACTGTATTTGGAGTTCGCTGCCTATGTCGCCCCCCCCCCCCCCCCCCCCCCCCACCCCATTTACGGTGCCGCCTGATGTGGATGGTTCTCTGTATCATAGCACGGCATGGCCCTGGTCGTTGTACTTAAAAACTATGACTATATCAAGGACACAACGAAACTAAATCACTGCTGTTGTATGCTTGAGATTTTAATTTCTTTGCTTCAATTGATTATAATAAAAGTTTACCCTTCTACTGTTTGATAATTTACTATGATCTGTATGTGAGATTCTAGTGCCAATGATGGTAAGACTACACCTAATATCCCAGCGTAGAATATATTAGGTCATATATAAATGTCTATAGCGGAGGCCTCTATTGTCCAGTTGTAGAGAATTAGACCGATGGCCAAAACAGTAAGATTGTTCTCAGCTCGAATAGCTCAACGTATTTGGTTCTGTGCGCAGTAGAGTTCCTAAGAAATACGATATGTGATTGTGTTAACATTAGAGGTTGTAAAGGAGTTCATCTTTCTGATCTATATAATAGGGATTTAATACAATTAATGATTGAAACATCACAGTGTAAGTAACAATGACAGATTCTAACGTTCTTGTGACACTCAAATATGCATCCTTTACATTTTTTTTTTTTTTTTTTTAAATTCTGTTTATTGGTTCAAAACATCAGATACAAATTCTCTTTACAAAACAAAAGCAAAATCAATAAGGTGATGTGCGAAAAATGATGATGGTTTGTACCGTTTCTCACTGACATTTCACAGAAAATAGAGACAGGGGGAGGCAGAGAGGATCAGTGGGTTCGAGGAAAGCTGGGGCTGTTGGGTCTGTCAGCGGAAACGGTACATTTCGATGGTAATGTTTTACAGGTTTTTAGATATATATATATATATTTACAACAACAGAGTGCATCCTTTACATACAGACATCTGAATCAAGATGACTTCACAGAAACTTCTTGTGGAATGCAAGACGAATTTGTTCTGTGTGTGCATGGTTGTAATGACTTTTATGACAAAACTACATCACACATGTATGCTGGGCGGGGCATAGATATAGGCTGAACTAAAACGAGCTGCGGAAAACAAGTGACAGTGGAGGGACGAGATAAAACGATTTCAGTGCCGATCTTTGGGCTGATTAAATAAAAAGACATTCCTGAATGGAATTTTCCAAGGAAACCAGGACAGTAGAAAGGAAAATTGCTGAATTAAAAGGGCACGACGGGATACTGTAGGCAAGCATCAGAAAAGGAGATAATTGATGAATACCTGTGTGTCAACAGCAGCATGAAGGGGCTACAGATGTACAGAAAGTCTTTTTTTTTTAAACAACCATTTTTACTCCTATGCGCATCCGGTATTTGACACTAGACTTGTATTTTTAGAGCCCCTACGTGGGTTAAGTGCTCAACATCAAGCTATGTCATTTTTATTAATAATTAGATATTTTTATTGTGTCATTACAAACATATTCTACACATAAATATGATTTCACTGTGGTGTTCGCTTTTAAAAAAGACTGTTTATTTCGCTTTACAAGAAAGTTTAAGTATCCGCTGGCGGGCCGTCCTGTTCTGGACAATCCAGGAGGTATTTGCGGTTGTAAACCGGCCTGCACGCATAGTATGATGGGTAATAGGCGTGGGGACAGTGAGGGCATGGGGCCCTGAAATCTACAACTTTATCGGCCCTTTGAACGGGCAGTTGGGTACAACTTCTGTCTGTGGAATATCCCTGGCTCTTGTAATGAACGTTGCCTGGAACTGCACACGGATCAGGGAAGCATTGAGTACTGCAAAGCTGCTGGCTGCTAGAAACGGATGAGGTGGATGTGTTGTTGTACATGGAAGCATTCATACACTAAGAGATGTTGCTAACCATAAAAAAAGTAAAAGTAAAGATCCCTTTTCCCGCCTTTCGGCGCATCGGACATATGGTATTTTTACAGACCATCAGCACTGTGGGTAATGTGCCGCCGGCTGTCTTTACTTCCCAGGACAGCCCATCCTGGTATCCATTGGAGGCTGGGTCGACCTGCGTCGTCCCATACCACGACAAAAATCCACGCAACCTGCAGTCGGTTTCGAACGCGGTATGCTGGCTCACGAGTCGGACTCGCAACGCCTTAGCCACCGTATGGTTATTATAAGGTCCTGTTGACGACATTTTTAAAACCAGGAACACTATTTGCCATCCGTTTGTGTTCGTGTAGCTTATACTTGAATGCCACGGATACGTGAGCACTGTTTACAACTGCATCCAGTAGGTGGACAGATTGTACAGTCCGAAGGTAGTGGCTTGTCGAGATATATCATTTCATCGGGCCCAGGATAAATAATGGAACATTCTTGCGGGACATAGCCATGTCTGTGTGTTGTTGCATTGCATGCAGTGACTCCGGCCGGGTATCGGAAGTCAAAGTGTTTACTGGGCTTTGACCGCGGGTAGCGAGGTCTGAAAGAAATGTAGGACAGTAATATGTCAGGATAGTTCGTAGAATCGATATAGTTTTATTTTTAAACATCAGTAAGCCTTTTAGTAGAGGTTGCATGCTTAGAAAAGGAGACTGCATTCAGAATAATTATTTTCCGCCAACTCCTCCTTCTCGTCCGGTCTTCTTCTTCTTCTTCTTCTTCTTCTTCTTCTTCTTCTTCTTCTTCTTCTTCTTCTTCTTCTTCTTCTTCTTCTTCTTCTTTTTCTTCTTCTTCTTCTTCTTCTTCTTCTTCTTCTTCTTCTTCTTCTTCTCCTCCTCCTCGTAGTCCTCGTCCTCCTCCTCCTCCTTCTTCTTCTTCTTCTTCTTCTTCTTCTTCTTCTTCTTCGTTTTCATCATAATCTTATTTTATAGTCAGGTCGCCCTATCCTTTGCCTTCTGCAGCTCATCCTGTGTATTCTCCAATTTTACTTCTCTTTCTCTCTCTCTCTCTCTCTCTCTCTCTCTATCTATCTATCTCTCTCTCTCTTTCTGTCCATCCATTCATCTGTCCATCCGTCTGTCTGTCTGGCCGTCTCTCTCTCTCTCTCTCTCTCTCTCTCTCTCTCTCTCTCTCTCTCTCTCTCTCTTCACTGATAATAAATATATTAAAATGAAATGTTGCACGCTTCAAGACACACAAAAACAGCTTGAAAAAGAGGGCGGGGATAAGCTGCTTTACGAAAAGCAAATTGTAAAATTTTGCTAGCGGAAAACATGAACTGGTAAACATAAAGAAACGTTTGTGCGCTGTGTTATTGGAGTTGTACAGTCAGTAATAGCACCATTGGTCACTAGGTTTAGAGTGCTTAGGCTTCAGAAAGCGGAGAGATTGTCCTTGAAATATTGTTCATGCTGTGAAGAAATGAGTAGGTGAACTAGAAAACGCCTTATACAGACAAGGCGTGTACGCCCTTGTTTGGTATTGGAGAAAGGCTGTGTAGTAGCGTGAACGGTTTGTAGTAGCGTGAAAGGCTGTGTAGTAGCGTGAACGGTTTGTAGTAGCGTGAAAGGCTGTGTAGTAGCGTGAAAGGCTGTGTAGTAGCGTGAAAGGCTGTGTAGTAGCGTGAAAGGCTGTGTAGTAGCGTGAAAGGCTGTGTAGTAGCGTGAACGGTTTGTAGTGGCGTGAAAGGCTGTGTAGTAGCGTGAAAGGCTGTGTAGTAGCGTGAAAGGCTGTGTAGTAGCGTGAACGGTTTGTAGTAGCGTGAAAGGCTGTGTAGTAGCGTGAAAGGCTGTGTAGTAGCGTGAAAGGCTGTGTAGTAGCGTGAAAGGCTTGTAGTAGCGGATGGAGATAATATCAAAAACTAGGAGGCGTCAAAGGCATAATCAGTTGTGAGTAAATTTAATAAATTTTGCACAGCTAATTTACGAGGGCAAAAAAAATGAGTTTTTACTAGCAGTCATCGTCATCATAATCATCATCAATCAACAGATGCTTTACAGAACATCCTTCTCTTCGGCAGGCATGCAAGTTTCTCTATGTCTAGCTAAGTCTCCAGACCTGTGCTCATGTATAGACAACGCGTCTTCTGCGTCCTGTATCCGCGGAGATCGACGTCTGCATCGTTTTCCCGGAAACTGCTGCACCCTCCACCACCGTTCCCTCCAGGCCATCAAGATGTTTAACATGGCCACACCTTAGCTTTAGGAACATGGTGCTGTTTTTGAGCCAGTTGTCCTCGATGTTTAAATCTTTTTTGTGTGTGTGTGTCCACGTTATGCTAAGAATTTTTCTGTGGCATTTCGGTTCAATCGCTCAGGGCAAGTGAGTACCCGGCTCTGTGATGTCATTGCTAATGGCAGGTAGCAGTGTAGAGGTGTGCTTATCCCGGCTGATACTCGGTGTTAGTAAATGAATACCCATAGTACTGATGGCGGCAAATTTTATAACTTGAATCTGCCATCATCAGGTAGCAGGTTCTTCGCAGAACGCGGTACTCAACACGGTCTGCCTGAAAAAAAACTCGTACTTTCGCCAGCTCTTTTCAAGGAATCATTTAAAGTGCCCATCTTCGTGTTGGTCGGTCCCTGTCCTTCCTTCCTGGTACCATGCCCTTTGTTGTTATTATTATTATTATTCAAATCCGCCATGGCGCTTGATATGACCAAATTATTTCAGTTTTCGAGGCAAGATGTTTTTTATTAGCTAATCTACCTGTATCTTTTCAACTGTAAGTATTTCTTCTCTTCTTTGTCCATGGTATACCGAGAAGCTTTCTATAGCATTTTAGCTCAAAAGCCTATATTTTCTTGACCGGGAGATAGTCCACGACTCACAGATGTGGGTTGCTACAGGGAAGATACATGCTCTCAAAATTTTGATTCCTTTGCTGGTGCTTAACCATAGACTTTTAACGCTGTTTAATCTTTGTATTGCTAAGGCCATCTCCCTTTTGATGTCTCTCCAACAGTCTCCAAAGCTATTTATTATGAAGCCTACTTATTCAAAGTTAATAAATTTTTTTTTTTTTCATTGTTTATTGTTATTTTTGGATGACAGTCAGTTTTGACTGCGAACATTAGGCGCTTCTTTGATTGGTTCCCCAAAATGGCGGCATGCCACATTCTGGCCATAAAATATCCAAAAATATCCGAACGACGGTGTTCGCGGATATCTAAAATACGGATTATCTGCCAAGGAACAAATCGCGGCAAATCTAGGATTTCTTGACAATCAATATCAACATCTGCACACGGTAGTAGTAGCAGACGATAAATACAGACCGTTGACAACAATTTCGAGCGTACATACTTACCTATCATCATACGGTTGCGTGTAAGGTTGCGTACGGTTGCTGTTGGGTTGCGTAGTCATCATACGGTTGCGCGAAGGGTTGCGTAGTCATCATACGGTTGCGCGAAGGGTTGCCTAGTCATCATACGGTTGCATGTAGGGCTGCGTACGGTGTGGATTCGGGGTTAGGGTTAGGGTTTAGGGTTAGGGGTAGAGTTAGGGTTAGGGTTAGGGGTAGGGTTAGATGTGACAATTTTGAAGTAGGAGTTCCAAATACTGGCCGACAATCTGATGCTTGTGGGAGTGGCGCCACTGGAAGTCTGTCAAATATGACCGCAATAGCGCGCAGCTGGTGCCCAACCGGAGGCGACGTGTCCGTGTCAGTAGCATCCACAGTCCGTCGACTTTTTGGGTGTGTATGTGACAGTGCGCGATTATTGGGAATTCCTGCGTCGTCAAAATTGTCACATCTAACGCTAAACCTAACGCTAAACCTAACCCCTAACCCTACCCCTAACCCTAACCCTTCCCCTAACCCTAACCCTCAACCCTACCCCTAACGCTAACCTAACCCTAACCTTACCCCTAACCAACACCCCTAACCCAAACCCTACGCAGCCCTACACGCAACAGCATGAAAGACTACGCAACCCTTTAGGCAACCGTATGATGACTACGCAACCCTACAAGCAACCGTATGATGACTACGCAACCCTAAACGCAAACATACGCAACCCTACACGCAACCGTATGATGATAGGTATGTATGTCATTTGTTTCGTGACTTTTCCGCTCACTGTTTCGAGTGCGGCCAAGGGAGAGAACTCCCACTAAACTGAACTAAGTCGTCCAGCCCGCATCCAACCCTCGTCCGGATCTGCAAGGAGAGCCCTCACGAGTACAGTAATTGGAGGAAGTTGCAGGAGATGCGGTAGCTGCTGCTCATGAGTCCCAGCCATCTAGTTTAGCCCCCATACGCTCGGCGGTGAGGCACACTCGCAGACGCAGGTCGGCAAGTAACGCCGTATTGCCGAGACCCTGTCAGAGCCATTTGTTTCGTTATCCGGAGCCGGCACATATATTTTTAATAGAACTGACCCGCATTGGGTTTTTTTGGGGGGATATTTTATGGCCAGAAATTGGCCAATTTAGCTCCCTTTTGAACGCCATCATATTAAAGCCGCCATTTTGGGAAACGATTCAAAGAAGCGCCGAACATTATTTTGTTATTCTTTAAGTTCAAAAAAAAAAAAAAAAGCGGTGATCTTCTGTTTGTTTTGTTGTTGTTGACGGACATGATTAAATGTTTTATTATCTTTATGTAGGGCTACAGAAAAAAAAATAATCTACTGATCTAAGATATCAACAACTGAAGACGTACGTGTTGGTGCATGGGCAGGGCAATGGTCCAGTTGTGCATGCACACGTCGGAGGGTACACCTTGTGGAACCGAAACACGTCACTGAGCAGTCGGGTGTCTGTCCCAGCAGGAGGCATGCATGAGTGGTTTCTAGGAATTAAAAAAAAAACATACTTACTGACATATCGACAGCCACGTTGACAGACAGAAGTACAGTCAATCGGCAGATCGATAGGTAGACAGGAAGGTACTAGGTTGGTATGTAGCTAGGTAGGCCTACAAACTGATAGACAGGTAAGTAAAGTGGGAGACAGGCAGGCAGGCAGGCATGCAAGTCGATAGGCAGACATACAGACAGGTTGGTAGGCAGACAGAAGGACGGACGGACGGGCAGACAGACAGACAGACAGACAGACAGACAGACAGACAGAGAGACAGACTGACAGATCTGACAATATGACCTCTACATACACAGGCTGAGGGGGACACGACCGTAGGCACGTCAGATCCCCCTCATTAGGCCTTATACAAGGATCTGGCGGGTAGTACGTCGCCACCCAGTTAAACCGGAACACATTAGAAGGAAAGGGTAGAGGAAAGCAGGTGAGCGCATTTATTCCCAGGAGCATACATGCCTTCTAGTCGGGGCATTGTGGCACAGTTCTGCTCGCTACATGGGGGGGGGGGGGAAGTATTTTAGATTATCTGCCACTTAAAGGTCTGTTCTTATTCTTCGGTTTCTCTCGAATTTTCAACCTCGGTTGGAACCATTTGTTGTGGTTTATAGCTAGGTTGCGATGTGTCCTTATTTCAGCTCCACTCATCTAGTCTCATCGCACTTTTAACTAGTCAATACTCACTTTTTGTGTCGCCGTGTTGTGGCGGCTAGACGCTCGCCTGCCGATCGGAAGTTCCTGGGTTCGGGTTCTAACGAAGCCGGGCTTTTTTCATAAATGACCTGGTCGACCCAGCCTTGAGTGGTTACCAGGTGTAGTCCTGGGAAGTAAAGATCGCTGGTGTGATGCTGACCGTCTCATTGGCCATGTCTATCGTACAACTTAAAACCCACAACTATGGAATGCGGACATAATTCATTTCAAACCATTTAAATGGCACAATTGGTTACAGAAATTTTAATTAACGAAGCATAGGTCGATTAACAAGCACAGCAACAATTTACGAACACAGTAGACCTTAATGCTTTATCTAGAGCATACAAGCATTTAGGAAAGGTATTTGATTGATAGGTTGCAGTGTGTATACGTCATTCACATAAATAACCAGAGGGGGAACTCTTGAGGCCGTTAAATTGTATGTATTAATAAAGTAACAGACAATGTATAGATCGCCACTCATAGAAAGAAGTAGAAGGTGAAAGAACACACTAGACAGCATAAAAACCGAAAGCTATAGTTACTGAGCCGGGAATTGAACCTGTCACCTCCAGACGAAGTGTTCAACTCGATATGGAAACAAGTGTACTAAGAACATGGTCAACTTGGCAACCCCTTTCCCCCCCCCTCCCCCTTAAAGGTGTCTCATTGGCCATGTCCATCGTACACCTTGAGTATGTGTTGTTTTTCTTTGCGCAGGAATGGAGCAACTATAGGATCACCCGTTTGCTATAAAGTTGAAACCGCATTTATCTGATTACCTGATTCTTGAGTCTTTGAAAACCCATCTCCGGGAAAAAATGTTAGTGAATATGTTTTGAAAGCCAGGAGTGTGTGTCCAGACACAGATTACAGTAGTGAGATAAAACAAATTTGAGGGCTGGCTGAACAGCCCAGGGGGCGGTAAGAGTTTCAGGTACAGTAAGGAGCAATGACCAAACATACGGCAGTGGTCGAGACAAAGGTCAAGTAGTGGTAGGTGAGTAGGTAGGTACGTAGATATATATACAGATATATTCGGGGTATTTAAGATTGCCTCTGTTGGACTGACGTCTATATTGAGTAACATATATTTGAGTAACAGGGGTGTTGAAAACTGTAGGTTGCAACCATGAGTTGCCACAGTCATTCAGGCATTGAAAAATACATTTGTGTAGAGCAACGGCTCTCAACCTAATCGTCGCGACCCCTTTGGTTCGAATCCCCTTACACATAGGTCGCATGAGACCATTCGAAAACACATATTCACTGACGTTATGAAGTAACAACGAAAATAATTTGATGGTTTTGGATGACCACAACATGAAGCAGTGTATTAAAGGGTCGCCGCATTAGGAAGGTTGAGAACGACTGATGTAGAGGAATACACTATAGTAGCGATAGTATACACTAAATAACAAACTCACAGAGAATGAGTCGTCAGGGAACGACGGGCAGGGTGAACCCCACTCGCCCGGAGAGGCTCATGACGTCGACTGCGGAGGAGCACCTTTGATGATTTCTGAGGAAGTGCGTTCCAAGATCAGGTTTCCACCTGCGAGCGATAAGGTGGTGTGGTGTAAGTTGGAGGCTCCATTATGTGAGGTACTTAAGCAAGATCTAAACAAGAAGTCGTTAGGCGACAAGCTTACAAAATTTGGTGATGTTATATATGAACACTGCTCCCGGACAGTGCAGAAGGCACAGCCGGGTGCCAAGCAGAATACTAGCAGGAGGCAGATGGACATTCTGAAGTGTCGGGCAGACAAGAATGCCCTCAGAAAACGGTTCAAAGCCGCTACAGGTAGCGAACAGGAGGGGCTGTATGAAGTCTGGTTGCATTTAAAGAACAGACACAGTGCCCTCTGTCGCGCTGAGCATTTCTGTGCCAACAGACGGAGAACCAAAAGGGAGCGAGAGAAATTCTTTAGGGACCCGTATCAGTTTGCCCGAGGTCTATTCGAGCAACCGAAGTCTGGGACTCTGGTTGTCAGTCAGGGAGAGCTTGAGTTACACCTACGCAAGATGTACTCTGACAAAAAGAGGAGAGAACCTCTCGATGACAATCCAGAGATCCTTAGCGGCCTCAAACAGCCTTCGGTGCCGAAGGTACCATTTAAAATGATACCTCCCCTTTGGTCTGAGGTTGAGGAAGTTGTGAAAAAGGCCAGCGGCAAGTCTGCCCCAGGTCTGAACGGTGTCCCGTACGTTTTTTACAAGCGCTGCCCGAAAATCCTAAAAATGCTTCACGTCTTGTTGAGACAAGCGTGGATCCGTAATCACATATGTCCACAGTGGCAAAAGGCAAATGGGGTCTACATTCCTAAAGAGCAGGACTCGAAGAGTCTTTCCCAATTCAGGCCCATCTTGCTGTTGAATGTCGATGGTAAGATATCCTTCTCGGTCATGGCTCGCCGGCTCACACAGTATCTGATGGCTAACAAGTACATAGATACGAGTGTTCAGAAGGGTGGTATTCCAGGCGTTCCTGGGTGCCTTGAACACGCGACCAGAGAGCCAAGCATGAGAGAACCGAATTGCACGTTATATGGTTGGACTTAGCCAACGCCTACGGGGCAGTTCCCCATAGGCTACTGTGGCGAGCCCTTCGCATGTTTCACTTACCGGCACAGATCAATCAAATGATCGAGCAATATTTCTCTAAGTTCGCTTTGCGCTTCTCTACCTCGACGTTTACCACGAGATGGACTGAGTTGCAGATTGGGATAGCTATGGGCTGTACGATCTCGTACGGGGCGGCCGGCTACGGACAGGGCCTTCAAATTGGGGACCACTGGATGCCGCCACTACGCGCATTTATGGATGACACGACTATTATAACGGGCAGCGAGGAGTCTGCCCGCACGATCCTGAAAAGATTGGACGCGGTGGTCCAATGGAGCGGAATGCAGTTCAAACCGCAGAAGTCGAGGAGTCTGTCAATCCATAAGGGCAAGGTGTCGGCAACCAGTTTTACGGTGGCAAGGAACAAGATCCCCACGGTTCTGGAGGAACCGGTGAAGAGCCTTGGTCGCGTTTACGATTCAAAGTTATCTGATAGAGCGGAAGTCCGGCGAATACACGAGTCACTGGCTACAGACCTGCTCGCGATCGAGCGATGCAGGCTGATCGGAAAATTCAAGGTATGGTGTCTCCAATTCATGTTGATTCCAAAGCTCCTATGGCCACTGTTAGTCTACGAGGTGACGATGACTGCAGTGGAAACCATGGAGAGGAAAATCAACACAGCCTTGAGAAAGTGGATTGGTGCACCGCCTTGTCTGACCGACGTGGCTCTGTATTGCAAGCAGGCTAAGCTGGTACTTCCGTTCAAATCGATAACCGAAGAGTTTAAAGACGGCAAAGTAAGGCTCGCCATGCTCTAGCACGAGTCTTCATACCCAAATGTCATCGCTGTCCAGCCCGCTCTAAAGACTGGCCAGAAGTGGAGGGTCCTCGATGCAATTGAATCTACGCAGAACGCACTAAAATTGAAGGAGATAATGGGATACACACAAACCGACCGTCGAGGCCTAGGGCACGGGAAGGTCAATTGGTGGTCAAAGGCCTCAGCCAAAGAACGCCGAGACATGGTAATGCAAATGGTGAGGGACAACGAAAACAAGGTTCGGGTTCAGAAAGCAGCCAAACAGTCGCAGCAGGGCCATTGGGTCAACCTGGAGAGCGCATTGCCAAGAGTACTCACATGGGGTGAGATCTGGCGGATGACCCCGCTGCGACTGAGCTTTATCGTTCGTTCGGCGTACGATGTATTACCGTCCGGTGTTAACATGGTTAAGTGGTCTGCGACCAACGATCCGACTTGCCCATTGTGTAAAGCGAAGCAGACGCTAGAACACGTCCTGTCCGCGTGCAGGAAAGCCGTAGGCCAAGGCCGATATACCTGGCGACACAACAAGGTGCTAAAAGAGTTAGCAGCCGTTGTCGACGAGGCTAGAATGAGGGCTAACGCCAGAGCCAGTTCTACTATCGTCCCCATACACTTCCCCAAGGCTGGGCAGGTTCAAAAAGGTAAGGTCAACCGAAACGCATTCGCTCCATCTGTGCTAGACTCAGCGAGGGACTGGTTACTGGCGGTTGATCTGCCGCGCCATGATAGTTACCCTGAGTTGATCCGGAAGACCGGTCTGCGACCTGACATAGTCCTCCACTCTGCGGAGAAACGGCAGCTCATCCTGATTGAACTCACTGTCCCGTATGAGTCGCGTATGGATGAAAATCACCTGTATAAGCTCGAGAAATACAGTGATTTAGCAGCCGGTCTGAGGAAAAACGAATCGTACACAGTACGGGTCTTTGCCGTCGAAGTGGGAGCGAGAGGTCTCGTCTCCACTTCACTGTAAAATGTGGTGAAAGAACTAGGATTGCGTGGTAATGAACGGAAACGAACACTTAAAAAACTGGGCGAGGCAGCCGAAAGGGCCTCGAGCTGGCTTTGGACTCAACGCAACAACGTAGGGGACGGGCCTCGGTGAGCTGGTCCGGGTCTCTAGTGGAAAAGGGTTTCTCACCCTTTGAAAGTCCATCGTGTCCAAATTGTTTGCCAGTGTCTCTCTGCCACGTGCTAATTTAAGTCCAACATGTGTCCGGTAAACCAAACGTAAGCGTGTCGCTCGGTCGTCCAGGCATGCTGACTGTTATAATTAGGCTGCCGCAACGACTTCTTATCTCACAGTAACTTCTGCGAAACCACCAAGTCGTCTTGTCCCTATCCGAAAGAAAAACACCATCCGGTA